CCCAAGTACATGCTCCAGGGACAGCCCAATCATCAACAAGAAATGGCTAATGTTTCTTTTCTCCGTCTGTTTGCTTCAGGTAGTCTGTCTGCACTCAAATTTTCTCTCCATTTGCAGCATATTCCGTGGAGGTGTCATAATTGTTGATTTCCGGATTTCATACTTCTTGTCTACACACCATTTGGGCCCTTTACTGAATCCAATAATACTGTAGACTCTTACAATGGATTGAGCAGGACATTGTCAATTAAATCCTTGCAGGGGTTGGGGGGGGTCAACCACAGGGGGTGCCGCGGGGGGTGCCACGGGGGGTGCCGTGGGGGTGCACAAGCATCTGCCAGCCTACCAAATGTGGATCAACTACAAAATCACTTTCCAAAGCTTCTGTACTGCAACCCAAGTGACTTCTAGGTAACCTTTACCCAATCCCAGTGAAACAACTTCACTGCTCTTGTTTCTGGGGTGACAATTGATTTTATGAGCTTGAGTGTGTATGCACCCTTTTTAGGAGGAAATGAGGCCATGTGATGAGAGGTAGGGCACCGAAACATTGTAAAATACTATATTCAACATGACGGTGGCCCATGTCTCTTCAAACAGCCCATATCTCATGTTTATCAAGACCCTATTTTCGGACTCATTTCAAGTTTTTGAATAGTTCCAGGGTCCAGGGCTCTCAGAATTTGTTTCAGACACTGCCAAAGAGTATATCATTCAGCTGTATTGAATTGCTTGTGTGTAGAAAAATATTTTTTGCCATACCCAAAGTGAACCATGTTGAACCATTGTCTACATAGGAACCTTGAGCAATGGTGAACTCTTTTCATGTTTCGAATTTTAGGTGGACAAATGATATGAAGTATCTACATATTCAATAAGAATAGCAGAAGGAGACCTTATTCCGATGGTTTCAGCTGCATAACTGTAGGAACAGTGTTAGAAGAGCAGTAAACACTTAGGTACGATGTTTATACAGGTTCTGATTGGCTAGTGACTTGACGTGTTCCGAGCTGTCAGTTTACATAATCTTACATATAAGAAAATCACGGGGACAAGGCACCGGTGCAGCGGGGGGTGCTAGACTGGCGGGGGTGCCAGCGGGGGTGCCGGCGGGGGTGCCAACAGGGGTGCCGGCGGGGGTGCCAATGGGGGTACCAGCAGGGGTGCAGGCAGTGGGTCATGGCAAGGATGTGTGCAGCCCCAGAGGTAGTAAAAGTGACCATCTATGTCTCTACAGTCTATCTTGCAAATATACGAGCTCTGAGTGCACAGAGTGTTGTATATGAAATTTGAAATTCAAATATTACCAATCTCTGACTATTGTGAGGCAACTTGCTGGTGAATCCATTGTCTCATATTCCACCTAGGAATCAATTCAGGGCATGTCAAATCCACTCTATTACATCTGTTCATGTTGCAACTAAAGCAAACTGCTTGTAAAGTAACACAGAACAGATGAACTTCAATGAGTCCCAGACAGGAAGTGTGACATTAGGTATGTAATTAATGTGTGGTATCATCACTGGGTAAGATTAGACTGTGCCTACAGCATGATCAGCTTACCAATGGGCATGTGTATAGAATGAGCAGACGAAACAATCAATGAGTTGACAGTGGACCCGATGCAGCCCATGATGTCAGCCCACCTACCTGCCAGCCAAAAAATGAACAAATCACACTTTCTTTTTAACCTACATGCCTGGATTATGCAGACAATATTGCACAGTTTTGATATCCCAGCCCCTGCCGAAGCATCAGGGAGTCACATGGCTGTAGCTGCAGACCAACCCCAGACACAGCCTCCAAACTCCTGGCAAAATGAAGGATAATTATGCTGCATGCTATGACCACAGCGAGAATAGATAGATCAAAATATGATGCAATGCACCCTACCCCTGCTCCTGTGGTTGACCCCACAGCGGGCCCTGCAGCACCCCCTGCGGCACCCCCTGCGGCACCCCCCGCAGCACCCCCCGCAGCACCCCCGTGGCACCCCCCGCAGCAGACCCCGCCAAATGATGGGATCAAGTGCATCACCAGTCCCATTGTGCAGGGTGCATTTGGGCTTTCTAAGCTCAAATTCATGCTTAACTAGTGTATTTACCGATAGAAATGATACCAGGATGATTTGGGGAAGGCTTCCATTTTTTGGGCGGAAAATCACGTGATTATGCGCCCATTGTCTGCCACAGCATGCAATGGATCAAGCAACACCTCCGAAATCATGCCGAATGGTGCACAAAAGGTGCCCCAAAAGTCACGTGATAATGCGCCCACTGCCCGCCATGGTGTGCGGGGGGCCAGTAGCGCCCCCGCCAACCCCCGCCAACCCTGCTAGCCATTTTTGATAATTTTCATGCGGTGCATCACGTGATTTTTTTACCCCGCCATCAGCCGCCATCCCGCCCATTGGATGTGTCATGTGATTCATTTTTTTTTCGCGCCCACCTGCCCGCTCCCAATGATAAATCACATGACATGTACAGACCCCCCCTGCTGACCCCCGCATATGCCCCCGCCCCCAATGGACCAAATCCCCCCCGCGGGCCCCGCAGGGGGGTACCTGTTAGGTACCCTCAGAGCTACGTCTGAGGGTACCCAGGAGGACCCCTGCGGGGGTGCAACCGGGTGATGGCGGTGGTAACTGAGGTGAGAAGATGAATCTTAAACCACAAGACCAGTACGTACTTATATGAGCACTACCGCGGGAATTATTTTTTCGGCAGAATATACGTGACAATCCAGAAGTCCGCTTTTCATCATTCTCCTTACAGATCCTTTCCTCGTGCAGGGGGGGAGACTTATTTTTTTTCCGTGGAAAATGCATGACAATCTAGAAGTCCGATTTTCACCGTTCTGTTTTCAGACAAAATATACATATTGAAAATAGACGTTGATTTACGGCTCAATTTTTAACACAAATAGACATCTATTCCTCCCGAAAACAGAACTGTAAATAGATCATCTTTTTTTAAATCAATTCTCACTGGGATAGACGTTGATTTTCACTGAAAATAGAGACAAAGAAAAGATGATTTTTTTCACTGAAAACAGATTGAAACCCCGGGAAGAATCTGTTGATTCTGGCCCCGATTCACATCACAAGTCCTGCAGCATGATTCCAACATGTTGTGAGTAGCATCCAGTAGCCTTTTGCAAGGCCAGGGATGCCAATTGGGGCCAGAATCTGTCAGGGGAACCCCTGCTTTCGTCCGATCATCCTGGGATCTTGCATGTGACCGTGCACGCGCCATCTGTCAGGCGTCACATGCTTCGGTCCGGACTTCCCTGCCAAGCGCATCCACATGACACTCGGGCCCGGATCCCCATTGTTCCGACGGTCCGGCTCCCATTGTTCTCCCCCGATCCGGCCCCTCATTGTTCCCTGGCCCATTGTCTGGCGCTTCCATTGTGCTTGGTCATCCATTGTTCTGTAGGCTATATATAGTGGGCCCTGACAAGGAGAGTCCCCAACTCGGTTTCTCTTTGGACTCTCCCTTGTCAGGTTTGCCAGTCTCCTGTACTAGTCGATCCCCTTATCTGACGCTTTGGACTCTCCCTTGTCAGGACTCTGAGATCGGGCCTCGAGGTTGCCCTTACAGCAGAAACCGAGTTCCTAGGGATAACTGGACAAGCTTGTGAAGACCGCTGATAGCGTCATACGCCTCTCACTTCCAATCTTGTCCCCTCCTCCCCCTCTACAATCATCATGTCCTACATGGAAGAAGAAGACCACGGGTCCCCCTGAGCAGCGACTTGGTAATCTAGAGGAAGCCATGCAGCGAATAGAGGGACTCCTCAACAACTTCATAATCGAACATCAACAGCCTGCCCCTGTCCCTGCCCCGTCTCCGGCAGTGGGTCCAGGTGTATTTACTGGCCAACAGGCCAGCTCGAGACCCCTCATCCGCCCCAATCCCCCATTCGCGTTTGACGGAGATCGCACCCAGGGCAAGACGTTTCTCCATTCCGTCAAGCAGTACTGGCGCCTCCTCCCTGAGGCCTTCCATGTGAATGGGGTAGTATCAGAAGAGCGGGTGGTACGTTTCGCCCTCTCCTACATGTCCAAGGACTCGGCGGCCTCCTGGTCAGAACGCATGTCAGAGCGCCTCGTCTTCCCATTTCCGACCTGGTCCTCCTTTGTGGCTGAGTTCAAGCTCCGGTTTGTCGAGGAGAACGAGCAAGACCACGCCCTGGCACGACTGGAGACCCACGCTTACTACATGGGATCCCGCGACGGTTCAAATACACGGACAAGTTCGACGACCTTCTCGACTTGGCGGGTTACTCTGACAACTTGGTCAAGGTCACCAAGTACGGGCGGGTCTGGACCCCAGAATCAATCAGGCAATCACGACCTCCGGTAACCCGCCTAGCCTCACAAACTACTCGGAGTGGCGTACCCGCGCATTCCGCCAGTACAACGCCGAGGTGGCTGCCCGAGCTGCACGAGGACAGGTGTTCTCTCCATCCCGCGCTCCGCCTCCTGCGGCCCCCCGCCCTCGCCCCGTGGCTGCTCCGGTGGTTGCTCCACCTCCTGCTCCCCGACCAGCCCCAGTAGTCCTCCCACCGGGCATTCCCATGGAGATCGACCGAACCAGAGCCCGCACCAGTGTTCGTCGCACCTGCTTCCGATGCGGCAGCCCAGGACACCTGGCCCGAGACTGCCCGACCCCCGCGGATGTCCGGCACGCTGACGTCCTGGACGAAGTGATCAATCAGCTGGGAAGCGACCTGTTGGCGGAATTAGTGGCCCGGCTAGCGACTACAGCGGCTGTAGAAGATCACGAAGCGGAGATTGCCGACGAGTTGGAGCAGGGTTTTCTCCCCCGCGACGAGTGAATAGTACGCCCCCGATCGCCTCACGTAATTGTTTTGAATGTCTGTATGATGAATGCGACCTCATTTCCCCCGCAAACAAAACGATAGACGTACCCCTGCCCCTCGCTCTGTCCCGCTGGTCCGCAAGGAAAAGTGGGAACGAAAACTCCCTCAGCGCTACGTGGTCGCAGCCTCCCCCGGCGCCAACTCCCTGCACCTCCCCCTAGAGATCCAGTCCACCGACAACGCAGTCCAGCTCGCCCTCAACGGACTGGTCGACTGCGGCGCCACGTCGGACTTCATCGACTCCACCTACGCCTCCGAAAACCAACTTCCGGTCCGGCAGCTCTCCCAGCCTATCCCAGTCTACAACGTGGACGGCACGCCAAATGAAGCCGGCTCCATCCGACAAGTTGCCGATGTGGTCCTGCGTTACCAAGGACACAGCGAGCGTGTCCAGCTCGCCGTCACTCGGCTTGGCAAGCAGAAATTGATCCTCGGCTATTCCTGGCTTCGGAAGCACAACCGGAGATCAATTGGGACACCCAGGAGGTAAAGATGAGCCGCTGCCCATCGGGCTGCTCCACCTGCACCGAGGAGTCTCGCAAGAGAGACGGATAGCCCGGATTTCGGCCCGAGCACTCCGATCAGCCCGACAAGGCCCTGCCCTCCATCTGCGTCGTTGATATTGAAGACCGCGAAGACGAGGCTATGCCACTGCTCCAGGAAGACGACGGAGAAGATTCCGACAAAGAAGAAGATTGTCTGGAAACCGGTGACCGTATCCTCTACACCCGTTTCAACCCTTCTGAAGACATCCGAGCCACTAGCACCGTCTCCCAGCGTCTTGCGGAGGCGTTTGCCAAGAACTCTGCCCCCCTCGGGATTCCATACCCGAGTGGGCGCGGTGAGTTCAAGGATGTTTTCAGCAAGGAGTCCTTTGACAACCTTCCGGAACGTCGCCCCTGGGACCACGCCATCGAACTGGTGCCCGACGCAAAGCCAACGAACTGCAAGGTCTACCCTATCTCCCCCTTGGAGCAGAAGCAGCTTGACGCTTTCATCGAAGAAGGCATGGCCACCGGCCGGATCCGACCCTCGAAGTCCCCTATGGCCTCCCCGGTCTTCTTTGTCAAAAAGAAGGACGGCAGTCTACGGTTTGTCCAAGATTACCGGGCACTGAATGCAATGACAGTGAAGAATCGGTACCCCCTTCCCTTAATCAACGACCTGATCAATAAGCTCAAGGGAGCCCGCTTCTTCACCAAACTCGATGTTCGGTGGGGCTTCAACAACGTACGGATACGAGAAGGAGATGAGTGGAAGGCTGCATTTCGGACTAACCGCGGGCTCTTCGAGCCACTGGTGATGTATTTCGGCCTCACCAACTCCCCCGCAACGTTCCAGACTATGATGAATGACATCCTCCAGGACCTCATACTCTCTGGCGACGTCATGGTGTACCTGGACAACATCCTCATCGCGCACTCTGACCTTCACCTCCATCGTCGTATCGTGAACGAGGTCCTCCGACGCCTTCGCAAAAACAAGCTGTACCTCCGAGCGGAGAAGTGCGAATTCGAGATGGAGTCCATCAAGTACCTTGGCGTGATCATCTCCCACAACCACGTCGAGATGGACCCCGTCAAGGTGGCAGGAGTAGCCGAATGGCCTGCTCCCTCTACCAAGAAGGAAGTGCAGCAGTTCCTTGGGTTCACTAACTTCTACCGGAGGTTTATTCGGGACTTCTCCCACGTCGCGCGCCCGCTCTTCGACCTCACCAAGAAGGACGTATCATGGTCTTGGGGCGACAACGAGTCCGCTTCGTTCCAGGCCTTAAAGGATGCAGTCACCTCTACACCGGTTCTTCTCCTCCCAGACTCCTCTTGTCCTTATCGCCTAGAGGCTGATAGCTCCGATTTTGCCACAGGAGCCGTCATCTCGCAGCAGTCCCCCTCGGACGACAAGTGGCACCCAGTCGCCTTCTTTTCCAAGAGCCTTAACGACGTCCAACGCAACTACGAGATCCACGACAAGGAGATGCTTGTGACAATCAACCCAGAAACAAGTCGAAAAGAGAAGTGAATTCGAAGACTGGAGAATACAACCAGGTGGCTACAGTATTTATACCCAAATCCAGTCTGAGTCATATCTACAACTAATGAGTCATAAGACTATGTACCGCATGGAACGCTGGTCATGGGTTGTACTAGAACCTTCCGGAGCATATGTCGCGCAGCCTCGAATCAATGAAGATAATCCCTGGAACCCCTAGTCCGGACCGTCTGATGCCGTGATCCGTGATAAGATAAGTCGTGCCAAGATAAGATAAGATCGTTGATGATAAGATGAAAAAGTGGCCGAACTATGACAATGCTCGCGATTGTGCGTGCGCTGGAGGAGTGGCGGCACTTCTTGGAAGGCGCCGAATACCCCGTGGAAATCTGGACCGACCACAAGAACTTGGAGTACTTCCGCAAGGCCCAGAACCTCAATCGCCGGCAAGCCCGATGGTCGCTCTACTTGTCCCGCTTCGATTTCACGCTCCACCACCAACCTGGCCGGCTCATGGGACGACCAGACGCACTCTCCCGACGCCCGGACCACGGAGCCCCCTCGGACAACACAGATGTCACCCTGTTGAGGCCGGAACTGTTCCATGTGCGTGCACTCGAGGGACTTTCCGTCTCTGGCCCGGAAGCCCCGCTTGTCCGTGACATTCGGGAATCGCTTTCCGGTGACCCTGACCTTGAGGAAGCTGTTGCGCTCGTAGCACGACAGCTTCTAAAGGGGATGAAGGGGGCCCGCTCTGCAGTCACAGCAGAGTGGCGTGTCCAGGACGGCCTGCTCTACTTCCGTGGGAAACTGGTGGTTCCGCGCGACAAGGACCTTCGACGACGCATCCTCGAGCAACATCACGACACCCGTGTTGCAGGGCACGCTGGCCGCTTCAAGACGCTGGAGCTGGTCTCTCGGAACTACTGGTGGCCCCAGCTTTCACGACACGTCGGCCGATACGTGGCCACCTGCGACCTGTGCTGTCGGACCAAGGCTCTCCGACGACTCCCCACTGGAGAGCTTCACCCCACAGAGATCCCCTCGGAACGTTGGGAATCGGTGTCGGTGGACTTTATTGTTGAGTTACCGGAGGCGCACGGCTACGACGCTATCATGGTGGTCGTTGACATGCTAGGGAAGCGTGCCCACTTCATCGAGTGCCACACTCGCCTCTCGGCCGAAGGGATGGCTTGGTTGTTCTACAAGCACGTCTGGCGACACCACGGGTTACCTATCAAGTATGTCTCTGACCGCGGCCCTCAGTTTGTGGCGGACTTCACCCAGGAGCTATGGAAGCTGGTTGGCGTTTCCCCTGCCACGTCCACTGCTTATCACCCGCAGACTGATGGCCAGACCGAGCGGGTCAACCAGGAGCTGGAGCAATACCTCCGGATCTTCACCAGCTACAAGCAGGATGACTGGGACGAGCTCCTGCCCGCAGCCGAGTTTGCTTACAACAACCACGTCCACTCCTCGACCCAACAGGTTCCCTTCATGACGGACACAGGACGCTTACCACGCATGGGATTCGAGCCGACAGAGCAGCGCTCCACCCAAGCAGAGTCTGCCAACGAGTTTCTGGATCGGGTCGCATCGGGCGTAACCGAGGCCAAATCAGCACTGGTCAAGGCAAAGGACGAGTACAAGAGGTACTATGACCGACGAAGGACCGCCGCTCCCGACATCAAGGTTGGCAGCCGAGTCTGGCTCGACGCCTCGGACATCACAACAACGCGACCCTCTCGTGGCCTCTCCCACCGACGCCTGGGCCCCTTCAAGGTCACCCAAGTCGTAGGTCAAGGCGCATACAAGCTCGCCCTCCCCACTAGCCTCTCTCGCCTCCACCCTGTCTTCCCCGTGGTCAAGCTCCAGTTGGCCGAAGATGACCCGTTCCCCACTCGCCCGCGTCACGAAGAACCACCCCCTGTCCTAGGACAAGGCGAAGGAGAGGAGTGGGAAGTGGAGGAGATCCTAGACGCAAAGATGCGATACCGGAGTGTCTGGTTCCGAGTGCGATGGAAGGGCTATGACCCATCTCATGACCAGTGGGTCAAGCACTCAGATGTGTTTGCTGACGACGCAGTGGCAGCATTCTACTGCAAATACCCTGGGAAGCCACGTGTCATCGCAGCGGCCGTATTTGACTCGCTGCCCTTCAGGGACTCGTCAACCCCCAACCGTGCCTTGCGTCGAGGCGCCGCAATCAAGAGGGGGGGTGATGTCAGGGGAACCCCTGCTTTCGTCCGATCATCCTGGGATCTTGCATGTGACCGTGCACGCGCCATCTGTCAGGCGTCACATGCTTCGGTCCGGACTTCCCTGCCAAGCGCATCCACATGACACTCGGGCCCGGATCCCCATTGTTCCGACGGTCCGGCTCCCATTGTTCTCCCCCGATCCGGCCCTCATTGTTCCCTGGCCCCATTGTCTGGCGCTTCCATTGTGCTTGGTCATCCATTGTTCTGTAGGCTATATATAGTGGGCCCTGACAAGGAGAGTCCCCAACTCGGTTTCTCTTTGGACTCTCCCTTGTCAGGTTTGCCAGTCTCCTGTACTAGTCGATCCCCTTATCTGACGCTTTGGACTCTCCCTTGTCAGGACTCTGAGATCGGGCCTCGAGGTTGCCCTTACAGAATCAACAGATTCTTCCAGGGGCTTTAATCTGTTTTCAGTGAGAAAAGATCATCTTTTCGTTGTCTCTATTTCCAGTTAAAATCGACATCTATTCCCAGTGAGAATCGATTAAAAAAAGATGATCTATTTACAGTTCTGTTTTCGGGAGGAATAGATGTCTATTTGTGGTAAAAATTGAGCCGTAAATCGACGTCTATTTTC